GTTTTCGAACTGCTAGGTTGGCAGAAGCTGGGACTAAAAGCGGGAGTTCACCCCGCTCCCTGGATTTGAACCACCAACCTTTCAGTCAGCAAGTTCAGCAGCTCAGCAGTTTAATCCACGGTGCCACCAGGGGCTTCTGCTTTCATGCCATAGCTCATTATGGGTGCCAAATTGGTGGACACAGAGGAGCAACTTTATTCACTACAAACTAGAACAGCCTTCCACTGCAGCACCTGTGTTGTCCAGGGATCTCAAGGCCACTTCTATATAAATTTCCCCCATTTGATTTCCATACAAGTACCCTGGAAGGTAGATTAAGCTGAGGGACAATGAATAACCCTGGGACCATCAGTGGATATCTTTGCTGAATATAGGTTTGGGCCTATGGCTGTCCAGATCTAATGCTGTATTCAACATTCATCGGGTGAAAAATGTTACTCATCTTAAACAACCCCAGTTCGACTCTAGAGACTGAACTTTGGGTTTATTCCTACAATCCACCAGTGTCATTGCACTTAGGGATAAGAATAATCCTACCCCATGCAGAGATCCAGGCAGCTAGAACCAAACAAAAAAGGTTTGATTCAAGGAAATCTTCACCTCACTTTTAATGTGTCAATCTGGTTGGAATCATTTCATTCTGGCTGGTATGCCAAACCTACCAAAAGAAGCACATATTCACAAAGTGCATGGTTAGCTTGTGAAGCTCATTGCCACAAGTGCCATGATTGCCACACATTTTGACAGTTTTAAGGAGGAATTAAATCTAAGGGGGGGCTAAGCCTCCCCAAGGCTACTAGTAATAATATTGGCTACAGATTGTTTCTAGCAATAGTAATAGCATCCTTCTGAGTACCAGATGTAGAAGATCCAGCTTGTGCTCATGTCTTTCTTCTACTTTTCTCATTGTAGTGGCCACCATGTCAGTGGGGTGGTGAATTCACTCTGACCTTTAGTCTGAATATTAGAGGAATTACTTAAGGTTCTAAATGTATTTTGGCTCTATGGTAGACCCGCCACTGAAAAACTCATCTAAAGTTCAGGCTAAAACCCAGAATAAGTTCGACCCCCATCAACAAAGTAGCCATGGTATGATTAGATGGCACTTGAAAAAGACAATGCCACTCCTTTTCTTCCCCTCCCGCTCCCACCTAGGCATGGGAAAGTGGAAAAGCTCACAATAAGAAGAGCAAGATGGTGGTTGCCATCCATGGAGCCTAAGGCATTGCAGACAGAAGGATGTTGCTTGTCACCGTGTTAGGAAAAGCAAGAGTGGTGAATCTCCAGCCTAGGGTGCCACCTACAGGTGCCAGGCCCAATTATTCAAATAATTTTGGATAGACTTCCTGATTCATTAGGAAGAAAAACAAGAGTTACAAAAAGCAACAGTTTAATTGGGAGCAGCTGAAATGTCACAAAAGAGGAGGGCTAGAAACTTTTTAGAAAGTCAGCTGTTAACTAAAATGGTGAGTTGAGGAAGGAGGGAAATAACTATTAAGTCACAAACTAAGCAATCTCTGTCTTTTTCATGGGTGCAAATGGAAGTTTTTTGAAAGTTTTTCCTAGTTCTTCTTCATTTGATAACAGAAAAACTTTCTCAGGAGAACATATGAAGACACCTGCTGGCTTAGACCAAGTTCTCTCTAGTCCAACACTCTGTTGCCAAGGTGGCCAGTGAGATGTCTCTGGGTTGTCTACCAAAAGAACAGGAGATTTAGCTCACGTTCCAGATCATGTTCCTCAGCCAAAGCTAATCAGATGAATTCTGTTCCTGGTACTGTATGTGATACAGATTCATTGTGGCCTTTCTCTTCTTGCATTTTTCTAGTTTCTTCCTAAAATCATTCTAGTTAGTAAACACAACTAGATCTCAATGATGCATATTCTTTAGTTGATGACACTGCTGAGTTAGAAATCATCACTATTATGATTTGATTCTGCCACGAGTTATAGGTAAAGGTAAAGGTTTCCCCTGACATTAAGTACCTAGTTGTGTCCCACTCTGGGGTGGTGGTGCTCATCTCCATTTCTAAGCCATTGTCCATAGACACCTCCAAGGTAATGTGGCCAGAATGACTGCATGGAGTGCCATTACCTTCCCACCAGAGCGGTACCTATTGATCTACTCACATTTGCATGTTTTCAAACTGCTAGGTTAGGAGAAACTGGGGCTAAAAGCAGGAGCTCACCCCAATCCCCAGATTCGAACCACCAACCTTTAGGTGAGCAAGCTCAGCAGATCAGTGGTTTATCAGGTGTTATATAGATTGAATAAAGACATAGAGTGGCCACCTCACTACAAAGACTCATTGTAAATGTGTTTTTCTATTTGATTAGTTTCACCAGTGCCTCATGGACATCCCCTCTAGTTGAAGCTTTATATTTTTTGAGAGGGAATTTGGGTTCATTTCCATTCTACAGAATAAGTGTGGGGATGTTCCATCAGTCTCTTACAGCACAGGTTTTATTTTGCTCATAATAACACCCTCACACAATTCTCTGTCATGTATCTGCAAAATGAGTCAAACATTTCATGTCCTTGAAGAAAAAGACCTCTCCTGGATGAGAAAACCACACCTCATTGCATGTTTGACTGCAAAATACAACCATAATGGTATCACCCTAAACATTTTAGATTTAATATGTGCATAACAGACTGGAACCATTATCTGTGTGTCACTACTGCCCCCTCCAGGGTTTAATCGAAGCAGTGCAGCTATCACAGAAATAGAAATAGATTACCCATTCCAAGGTGGTAAAGCACAGCCAAAGGCCTTTAACTCTGAAATCAGAAGGGTCCTTTAATGGAGAATGCTACACTTTTAACTCTTTGCTTTAGATGTGTTTCAACTTTTAAAAAATATTTTAATATGATGGTTTATTTAAACGTCTTTGAACACTTTTTAAATCTTTGTTGCTTGAAATGAATTTTGCTTTAACTGGATGTTGCCTTGGCAGTTAAAGTGGAACCATAGCAATATAACTGGAGAGGATGAAAGGACCCCAGGGGAACAGCTTTGCTGGAGAGAATAAATGAATGAATGAATGAATGGCGGACAAATAAAGCAAAGAAGAATGAAGCAAGTGCTTTGGGGTCTGAGTGGGAGTGGTCAAGGAGTCCAATGAGCCCAGATGTTTGTAAGTGAACAGCAGTTGCAGCTCATTACATTGGGGGCAACAGGACTAGAAACAGCTCTCCCATTAGGCAGAGGAGGAGCACCAGTTGAGGGTAGCAATGACATAATATTTTGAGAGGAGCTGCATGTGTCCCTCATTTCCTGCCCTGTGGCCCCAAGGGAATCCTCAGCCTTCAAGTGAGACCAAGGCAGCAGCCAGCATGGAACTATGTTTCAACTACCAATCTGGTCAGCTTCTGCCAACTGAATGGTAGAAGACATTATTTTGTCCATTGCCTCAGGCAGCAGAACATGTTGAAGCTGGTCCTCATTGAGAGGAGTGTGGACTAGAAGAATCTCTACCATTAGGCAGAGGAACAGAAATAATTGAGGGTGGCAATGACAGAATGTTTTGGAGGAAACAGACCTGTATGTGTCCCTCACTTCCTGTCATTTGGCCCCAAGGGAATCCTCATCCTTCATGTGAGGCCAAGGCAGCAGCCAGTATGGAACTATGTTTCAACTACCAATCTGGTCATCTTCTATTAATTGAATGGTAGAAGACATCATTTTGTCCATTGTCTCATGCAGCAGAACATGTTGAAGCTGGTCCTCATTGAGAGGAGTGTGGATCTGCCTTTGGGATTGGGTGATAACCTGCAAAAGAAAAATAGGTTCCAGTGGATACTGCTTGACATGAAAAGGGCATCACTTTCTGTGCAAAAGAGTCAGCACTGGGACTCTACAAACTACAAAGCACGCTCAGGGGCTCCAGGATGATGGAGAAATGGCAATGAGGGGAGTGTTTAAGATCCATAGCTGGTTTGTTCTGGGTAACACAATGATGAACCACTGTTCCATGTGACAAAGGGAAAGCTTGAGTCTTATATTTTAAGTTGCCTTGAATTCCATATTGGAAGAAAGAGAGGCTAGAAATAAAGGGACTAAAATGTTTTCAGTTTTCTGTAAAGGTAAACACAAGTGTGCTTTTATGGCCAGCATCTGCAATCAGCAATGTTTACTGCCTTCCAAGGACCACATCTCTGCAGAGGCCCAGCACCAATCCCTGATGTTTCCTATCATATCACCTCCTATTTGTTCCTGCCTACTTTCCTCCTCTCTTCCCCCTGCAAAAAGAAAAAGCTAGGCAGAATGAAAATAGAGAAAATCATCCTCCATTTACCTTTTCCTTTGTCTCTAAATAATTAGCTATGGGACTAATGGCCAAGAGAATGGCCACTGGTGACAGTGGAGAAAGGGCAAACCGCTTTGAAGGCGTTCTAAACTTTAATCTGGACTTTCAAAGGGCTATTAGAAACTGGATCTCCATTGCCAAATAATACAGCTCAAACTGCATTATTTGCCAGTGTAGATCTAGCCTGAGATGCTGAAGCTATTTTTGAATAATTTCCAACACCTTGGAGAGCTCCTCTGAACAGGCCATCCAGACCAAAACATGGATTTATCACCTGGAGTTGGAATTGAAGCCTGCTGAGGACATTAACTAGTCCATTCCAGCTGTAAAAAATAAAATCAAAACTGACACATGTGATTTTTATTTTTTTTATAAGCAGTGTTCATAAATGTCTTAAAGCACACATCTTTCTCACATTCAGATGAAAGAGATTACTTAAATCCATTTCCCATTTTCCTACTGTGTTGCTCAAAGAGTGTACATGTATCCAACAAAGATAAATAATGGTATAGCAAGAAGACAAAAACTTTTCTTAGAGACCAGTTCATATCTTGTAAAAAGCAGAGGGGCAATTGAAGAAAGAATGATGTCTTTACCCCTACACAGGAGCGTTTCTCAATATTTCCCAGTGTCTCTGGGGTTTTTTTTTTAATGTTTTCAGTGAGCAAAGTAAAGACAAACTAACAATATAAATGTTACTAAAAGACACTGCCATTTTTTGCAATTTAATCTTGAATGTATTCAAGAATAGCTCTTTGAACATTACATTCCACCCACACGCTGAAACTTGAAAGAGTCTCTTTTCTCATATCAAAGGAAAGGATATGATTTTTTTAATGCTTAACCACCTGAGAATGGAACAAAAGGAGATGAAAGCATGAAAGGAGAGTGAGGCATTTCAACATATGGACCATTCCAAGCACTGAAGATAGGATTTTAGTCGTTCTAGCTTTCCACAGCAGCGTCATCTTCTGAAATTCCCTCTTCTAAAGAACTGTTAATGGGATATGAGCCCTGTCCTCTTTTTCATGTGGCCACACCAGAAATGGCACAGAGGCATTAGACAAAAAGTAAGTTCGTAGCTAGAATAGCCTGGGCCTCCAGTTCATGCAGTCACTTTGGCCAATGTATTTTAGAAGGAGACCTCTTTTTTTTTGAACTGTCCTCTCCATACATAATCAAAAACTAACCCTTGTGCAGAATAGACATAATTTAGCCCTTTCGATCTAGTGAATCGTGAATCTTCTACCATGACCGGGCTAGTTTCCATTATAGCAGAAAGTAATTTGTAATGCACATAGGCATTCTACCCAAATGTAGTGTTTCCTTTTATGGTATAGATGTATAATGTAAACCACCTATGTTTCATTGTGGTTGTCTAGTTTCTTTTGGGCAGCTGGGAAGCAGGATTCTGTGAGACACCACAGCTATGAAGTCACATGAATCTGGTCAAAGTCACCCACCCCTCTCTTTCTATCAAGGCTGCAGGGCAGTCAGAGCAACCAAACCTGCCTTTATACTCTGGAGTTTCAGGAAGCAAAAAAAAAATGAGTATGCTTTAGATATTTGATTTCTACCATCTTTAATGACTCTTTGAGGCCCCAAATTATTTTAATGACAATTGAAATGTGAGCACATGTCCTGGGAAATCTGGGAATAGCATGTGGGCACCCAGTATTAAGGATTTGGGGGAGGCAAATGACATGGCTTGATAGACATGGGATTTGGTTGTGCTCTGGCTTCTTTTCACTTTGAATGACTCAGAAAAAATGCTTACATTTAATTTCTGAGACCAGGGTCCTTGCAATCAAAAAAATGCAAGCTCTTATAGGTTTGAAAGTTTGCTTGCCTCAGCCTTGGTAGAAACAAAATTAACCATATGCTTTAGGAACACATTTGTATCTTTTAGTTGGAAGAATATATTAGTTTTGGGGTATTTCAAGGGCCACAAAACTGAGAGCAGAGGTGGACAACTGTTAGGGTCTAGAGGTCCAAATTGGCCCCAAGAACACCACCCCATTGTATCCCCCAAAACATAAAAGAATTGTCCCCATAATGGCACCAGATGGCCTCGAGGGAGAAAAGGGATATTGGTAATTTCCTCTTTGGGTTATTTCGACCTGGGTAGTGTTCTCTTTTTTGCTATAGGAAGCCATTTCTATGCCTAAACTGAGCTGGGGGCATAAAAAAGTGGCATATGGGGACATTTGGAGAGGATTTTTAAAACCTTTTTTCCCAAGGTCATGGATTTATTCCCCTGTGTATGGTGTAACATGCAGACGACAAAAGATGAGGCTAGGAATAGAGTTCCTAGCATACTTCTCTGCCCAACAAAATGGGGGTGGGGATACCGATTCACCCCCACCCCATTTCCATTTCCACCATGGATTCTCTCTCTCCTGCCACTATTGAGTAATGATGTCCATATCTGGACTCAGGGTTTCTCTTCTGCCTTAATACTGTCTTTAAAAAAAAATGAACAGGATTCTGTAGAAATGAATTTAGATTAGGGATGAGTCAAAGCTATCAGGAGATTTTTATTTACTTTTTGTCAATTAAAATCACTTCATTTTAGGAATGTTTCAATACATTCTTTATGAAAATGTTGAGTTGTTCATTTCGATTTCCCTCTCTTACCTTCAGCTGGCACCTTCAAACAGCTGGATGTGATTGGCTATGTAGCTATACAATGTGCTCCCATTCCCTTTGTTGTTCTATATGTTCAAGCTGGTTTGGACTTGTGGCAACCCTAAGGTGAGTCTACTGCAGGGTTTATTTTACAAGATTTGTTCAGAGGACATTTGTCTTTGCCTTTCTCTGAGACAGAGAGAATGTGACCTTCCCAAGGTTACTCAGTGAATTTCCACGGCTGAGTGAGGACTCAAATTACTATATCACGCTAAAGAAAAGCATGACATCAAGCAAATTTCGAAGGAGACAGCTAAATATTATTCATATTTTCTGTTTTGGGGAGAAAAGAATGTACACACCTCCAGAATTTCTAGATTTGGCCTGAAAATCAAAAGTAACTCAAGTTTGGAGTAGCCTCGACTTAGATTTATTTGAAGTTGCTAAATGTACTTTATAGGAAGCGTTTGAATGCTAGCATATGTTATAAAAGGCTTTGTTAATTTTCTTCTGGGATATTCCATCACTATCCTTATCACCGCTAGCTTCCAAGCCCTAAACTGGAGAAAGAGCAAAGAACCTCATTCAGTCCCAGGCCTAAATATCATACAATTCCAAAGAAGTTATTGGGGCCTGCATTCTGTTCTTGGATGGGACCAAGGGCAAAGTCACAGGACCAAAAACATCAGTGTATTTTAACTCTAAAAAGAAGAATGTCAGTCTTCTAAAATTGGGGGCAGAAGAACTACACAAAAACTGGAAAGCCACCAAATGACTGTACTATGGAAATTGGGGCATACCATCTGGGGAGGTCTAGAAAATATGACTGGGATCCCGGGCAGAGCTGGATTTAGCCTCAGCATTTAAGATTCCCTAACCCCCACCCTGCTGTCTTATTCCACCTCTCTCACTAACCTCTAAGCATGTCTGGGTTTCTACACATTGTTGAGCTGCAACCATGCAGATCTCAATTCTCCTGCCTCAATAACCAGGATTCCAAAAATAGCAAGTACAATAGAGTCCAAAGCCATGTGTTAGGAATGTATTAAAGGAGAATTTTTTAAATAAGAGAAATCGCCAACATTGCTGAAGTTTTCCCTATGAGGTTATGGATTCTATATTCATTGGGAAAGGATCTCAGCCCAGAAGATCACAGATGGGAATCACGTGGCCCTCCAGGCATCTTGGAATCCTAATCCATATCATTCATCACCATTAGCTATGGTGACCAGGGGCTGCTGAAACTTGCAATCCAACAATATCTGGAGGGCTGTTTGATTCCTACCTCTGACCCAGCTCATTCTCCTTTGCTGAGCCCCAGTCCCATCTCAATAAAGTGTCCCTGCCCACTTGATCAAACTGGAAATATATGAATCCCTCTACAGCCTCCTCACCCCACCTGCAGCCAAGAGAGGCCTAGTGGTAGTGGCTGTTCATGTTATTGATGTGGGACGTTGCCATGGTACCAAAAGGTGCTGAAGGCTGCAACCCATGGCTGGGGTACAAGGTGGGGGTAGAACCTGGCCAATAGGAGAAGCTGGTTGGAGTCACCCCTGAGGCCATGATGTTGAGTTTGGAGATCCCAGAGAAGGGCAGGGGGGCCTGGAACTTGTAGAGGGTATGGTCAGGCGTTGCTGGCTGGCAGACTTGGGCCAGGCCTTGGAAGTCGAACTTGTAAGCGTAGCGTTTCCCATGCACTTTGGTCATTATGTTTTTGTCGTAGTAGTAGCGTAGGGCCCGGCTGAGCTTATCATAGTTCATGTTGGGCTTGCTCTTGCGCTCACCCCAGCGCCGTGCCACTTCATCAGGATCCAGGAGTTTGAACTCGCCATTGGTGCCTTCCCAGGCAATGCAGTTCAAGTTGGCCCGATCTGAAAGCAGCTCCAGCAGAAATTGCCACAACTGGATCTGACCACTGCCTGAAAAACCAGAAGAAAGATGGTTAGAAATACAGGGCAGCCCTCCCACCCCCCATGAACATCTAATACTGTTTTATACTGGGGTCAAACTATTCATCCATCCAGTCCAGTCAAAAACAGCAACCACATCATTAAGTCTCTGTCTTTGTTTTTGTCTCTCTGGGCCCTTCCGCATAGCCATATAACCCAGAATATCAAGGCAGAAAAATCCCACAATATCTGCTTTGAACTGGGTTATCTGAGTCCACATTGCCATATATCCCAGTTCAAAGCAGAACATGTGGGATTTTATTCAGCAGGGTGGAAGGGGCCTCTGTCTATTTGTCTCTCCCTCTCTTGTACACTTAGAGACTTTTTTAAAAAAAACATTTAAGTCCCATCTTTTAGGACTGAAAGGATTCAAAATGGCTTCAAGGTGAAATACAAGAAAACACAATAAAACAGAAACTTGCTGTACAGAAACAAACGGAGCCTCCGTAACTCCCTTTCTGTTTTTGTACAAAATGGCTTTACCATGAAAGCATTTCTACTAGATGGAAGTGTAATTAATAGACCCACTTTGAATGTCTGACTTGGAGCAGAATCAGGCCAACAAAAAAGGACAACAGACAAACAAAGCAGATACTTTAGCTTCACATGGCATGGTTGGAGGAGCTGCATCAACCCTGACATGCAAAGTTAAACATTTAAGGACACATTCCTGTTTGGATGTGTGTAGTGATAGGTTGAGCCATATATCACTTCACTGACCTACTGAACAGTCTCTGAGGCCCCCTCCCTCCACAGCTTTGTGGGAATCAGGCTGGATTGCAAAATATCTGGCTATCGTTATAACCAGGTCTAAAACAATTCTAGCAGTGTTGAGATCCTCTGGAACAGTGGTTCCTAACCCTTGGTCCTCCAGTTGTTTCAGACTTCACCTCCTAGAAATCCTAGCCAGCTTACCAGCTGTTAGGAATTGTGGGAGTGAAAGTCCAAAATGCCTGGAAGACCAAAGATTGGGAGCAGACCCGTAGCTGGGGGGGGGGGGGGCTTGAGGGGCTTCAGCCCCCCAAAAATTTCAGGGTGGTCCACGAGAAGGCCTTACTGGTACATTATTTAAACTGTTACGTTTATTCATATCATGATCTGATCACCATGCTCAATATATCCCATATGCATGGGGGTATTGGGATAATGATACAAAAGGTTTGCTAGGGTAGATTCTCCCCCCCCCCCCCCCCCCGAATCCCCCCCCCCCCCCCCCCCCCCCCCCCGAATCAAAATCCTGGCTACAGGCCTGGTTGGAAGTCATTGCTCTGGAGAATCCCAGCAGATTTCAACACTGATGTCATCACCTCATATCTGGCTACAGGAACATAGCCAGATATTTCTTCAGTCCTGCCTACGTTCCACAAAACAAAAAAATTATCATGAGGGCTGCTTTTTGGGACTGCTCAGTAAGTTGCAGGAAGCTTTGGGCACTGGGAAGATGGGAATATCAATCCCTATTCACATGTGCAAATGCACACAAAGATATATGTATACACTAGCCATCCCCTGCCATGCGTTGCTGTGGCCCAATCTGTGTATATGTGTTTTGTGTGTGTATATATATTTGTGTATATGTATATATGTGTGTGTGTGTTTGCGTATATATGTGTGTGTGTGTGTGTGTGGTTTTGTGCATGTGATGTAATTTTTTTTGGTTTTTTGCTTTTTAAGTCTCTTCTGCTGTGTTTTTCAGTGTTTTTTTGAGTGAAGGTGTACAGATTTGGTGTCAATTCGTCCAGTGGTTTTAGAGTTCTGTTAATCCCACAAATGAACATTACATTTTTATTTATATGGATAAGGAAAACCTGCACATGCATATGCCCCTAACAGTTGCCAGCCTTATTGTGGTATGAACCCTAGTGTTAAATGACATCATTGCCCAACTGAATCCTGTTATTCTATTTATGATACCAAATGTACAATGGAATGTGCAGGAGCATCCATGCAGTTCACTTCCATCACCTTAAACTGAATGCTGACATTCTACATTGGACAACAATATTAAATGATTTTCATAGGGGACCTGACACATGCATGAGATGCCAACAGGGTCCCTGCCAGTATGTTCCAGTTCTGATGAAAAGATGGCATTGACACAAACTGCAGTAAGAAGGTGTCCCAAAGGAACATTCACTTCTAGTCCCTTTCACACTGTAGAATTATAGGCGATGATTCCACTTTAAAAGCCATGGTCCCAGCCTATGAAAACCTGGTATATAGAGATGGGCATTTTTTATCCTTAGCCAAGAGCTCCCTTGGTGCCTCTAATGAGACTACAAACTCAGGATTCCATAAAATGGAACCATAGTAGTTAATGTGGAATCACAATGTTATAACTGTGTAGTGTGAAGGACCCTGTAGTGGAATCTACCTTTAATACGACAAGGCCGAAGCCTGCATGACAGCAGCTGTCATCTTGGAAGGCAGGCAGAGACAGGAGGAGGAGTCAAGCCGACTCCTGATTGGGTATAGCAATTGGGGGAGGAGTCGGTTGAGAGAGGGAAATAAGCTGTCAGCTTTTGACAGAGGGAGAGAAGTATCTTGACATCAGATACAGAAGGATGAAATGTTAAGATAGGAAGTTACAGTAGGGATCTGACAGGGAAAGAAAGTTTTAAGTGAGCCTTTAGAATAGGGAATAAGCAGCAGACAAGGGCTAAGGTTACTGTATTGATAGGATCAGTAACAGAAAGACTTGTCTGTTTATACTGAGGAAAAGTATAAGAGTGCTTATTTGCCCTGTGGGAGAGACAGATAGGGATCTGTTCTCCAAGTGATACTGTGTCTAAAGATAGAGCAGTGTGTTTAAGGAATCTCACAGTTGATATAAGCTTTACTTTCAGTGGAACTACTTATTTAAGTAACTAAGTCTCTACAACTGAATTACGCTTCTGTACCGCTCATTATATGAGTAGCTGTTTGTTTAAAATTCAATAAACCCTTTCTAGTTCATTTTTAACTGGCGTCAGCTTCAGTATGTCAATCTCCACAGAACTAACTCAGTCTACCAAACCATTTTAAAGTCCAGTCATCCAGGGAAGAAGCAATAGAAGAACCAAGAGCTCAAACACACTTTACCTATAACACATTCACACCTTTGGTTCCTCAGGCCAATAGAAGCTGAGGTGGTGGCAGTCATACCTAACAAGAACATCGGTCATTGACATATTTAACATAGGGTCAGCCTCTAAATTGTATTATACTGGTAGCAGCGGTGGGATTAGTTGTTCCCCCCTGCCCTAGATATCTTTAATTTCGTTACACTGGTGGCAGCGGTGGGATTCGTTGTTCCCCCCTGTCTCAGATAGCCTCAAATTTCGTTATAGACCCCTAGGACTTCCCTGTCTTTTTTATAGGCTTTATGGATTGTATGATTGTGGGTGGGTGGGATGGTGGTGGTGATATACTAGATTAATAAACACCCTCCTTTCACCATGACATTTTGGCACTATAGGTACATCTGTATTATCACTCATTTTTAACAAGTTTTAGTGCAGAGATGGGGAACTTGATGAGCTACAGCTCTCATCACTCCTAGGCAGGCAGCAAAGCCAATGATGACAGACGATAGGAGCCTCATCTGGAAAGTCACAAATTAACGGTGTAGTTTTATGATTTGCGGGGTGATATTCCTCTATTGCATCCAAGTGCTGGAAGCAGCAAAGAAAGACTATCATTTTCAGGAAACCGTGAGCCAAAGTCAGAGAATTAGGAAAATGACCAATCAGAACCGGAAAGCTTCATTTCCTTTCATGAGGTTACTGTTGCAAGTAAAAACAATAGAAAGCCTAGACCTAACAGGTACACTTTCAGCAGCAATATTTTGCATTCTAGAAACAGGACTAAATCCAATTCTCCTTTCAGTTAACAGATACCCAATTAAATGCATAGATAGGTTAAACCTTTGTGCCAGGAGGACTGAAGACCAATAGGCCAGAGGTTCGAATCTGGGGAGAGCATGGATGAGCTCCCTCTGTCAGCTCCAGTTCTCCATGCGGGGCTACAGGAAGCCTCCCACAAGGATGGTAAAACATCAAACATCAAGGCGTCCCCTGGGCAACGTCCTTGCAGACGGCCAATTCTCTCACACCAGAAGCAACTTGCAGTTTCTCAAGTCGCTCCTGACACGAAGAAAAAAAATCAATTGGGGTTTGGTTCCAAGACCCCTAGTGGATATCAAAATCTGTGAATGCCCAATATAGTGTAGTAAAATGGTGTCCCTTATCTAAAATGGCAAAATCAAGATTTGCTTCTTGGTTATTGTTCAAGGCATGGATGGTTGAATCTGTGGATAGAGGATTAGTGGATATGGAGGTCCGACTAATTCTTGTCTTTCACAAAATAATCTATAGTGCACAGATATCTATGTAACAAGGTAACAACAATGGTTTCAAAAGCAAAGAACAATTCAAAACAAAAATAATTCCACACTTATTTTAGTATTGTTTCACAAATCAAACTGGGTTCTAATTGTGACTATACTATAACTCTAAGCCGGTCTACATAAATGTTCAAAGGAAAATAGTACACGCGTCCACTAATTGTAGACACAACAACAAGAATCCCGGGTACACTATTCTTGTTTCGGGAATCCTACTCACAACCTGAAGAAGGATTCCCGAAACAAGAATAGTGTACCCGGGATTCTTGTTGTTGTGTCTACAATTAGTGGACGCGTGTACTATTTTCCTTTGAACATTTATGTAGACCGGCTTAGAGTTATAGTATAGTCACAATTAGAACCCAGTTTGATTTGTGAAACAATACTAAAATAAGTGTGGAATTATTTTTGTTTTGAATTGTTCTTTGCTTTTGAAACCATTGTTGTTACCTTTTCACAAAATAATGTCATAGAATTGGGTTTCATCCCTGGACTGCACAAGTTTCTTGTGTCATCAAGTTTCCAGACCTCAGTGAATAGCTAGGCTAGAGATAGGACTAGGCTGAAGGATTCCTACCCCCACATT